AATGAGATATCACCTCACAACAAACATGTCAAAGTGGCTTTCATCAACAAATCAACAAACAAGAAATACTGGTGAGGATGTAGTAAAAAAGGAACCCTTACGTACTATTGAGGAACTGTACAATGGTGCAGCCACTATGAAAATCTATATGGAAGATCCTCAAAACTTAAAAATAGAACTACCACATGACCCAGCAATTGCTGGGCATTTATCCAATGGAATAAAAAACACTAATTCAAAAGTGCAAATGCACTCCTATGTTTATTATTTATAATAGCCAAGATGTGGAAGCAACCTAAGTGTTCAACAATAGTCAGATGAATCAAAAGGAGGTGGTATACAGGGTGTAGCACAAATAATGCCCCTTTTATTACAAAATCCTTTATTACAAAATCATAAGCATGTAATTCTATAACATAACAATATTACACTCAAGTACACCATATGACATTTCAGGTGAAATGTTCAAATTAAAACTATAAGTTATCACACCCATATTATTACCCTACCAACCACATTCAAGCAGGCCTTACTTCTGCTAGACCCTATGTATAACATATACAAAAGAACATCACACAGCCATAAAAAAGAATGAAATCTTACCACTTGCAACAGCATGGATGGACCCAGAGGATACTGTGCTCAGTGAAATAAGTCAGATAGAGAAAGACAAATGCCATATAACTTCACAGATATGTAGAATCTAAAAAAGAAATAAACTAACAAATAAAACCAAAACAAACTCATAGATACAGAGAACAAATTGATGACTGCCAGATGGGAGGGGGGTTGGGAAGTTGGGTGAAAAACAGGAAGGGATTAAAATATACAAATTGCCAGTTATAAAAATTCATGGAGTTGTAAAGGACAGCATAGGTGATATAGTAAATAAAATTATATCAATAAGAATTATGGATGGTATCAGATGGGTACTAAAATTATCAGAGTGATTACTTCTTAAGTTAGATAAATGTCTAATCACTATGTTGTATAACTGAAACTAATATAATATGTCAACTATAATTGAAATTTTTTTAAAAGTAATGTATTAAATAATTAGTAAAGCATAGCAGGTAAATAAAAAGAATTAGAAAGAAAACTAATGAACTTGATGATAGATCATTAGATATTATATTCTGTGAAGCAAAAGAAAAAAAAGTAAATGAATAAACAGTTAAAGACCATCATTGACACCATCAGGAAACACTTAAGGAAATACTTCAGGCTGAAAGAAAGTGACACCAGATGTTCATTTTAACCAAAATGAAGAAATAAATAGCAGCAGGAAAGGTAATTACATTGTTAAATATATGACTATAGAAATATAGTTTCTTCTTTTCTACTCTTATTTAAAAGACAACTGCATGAAATAGTAATTATAAAAGGAATTTTAGGGCTTAGACCATAGAAAGAATGTACAAATTTGCATGATAATGATAGCACCAAAAAGGAAGGGTGAAATTGGAGTTCTATTGCAGCAAGAATTCAGTATTTTTTGAATTTCAGTGTTAATTGAAATGAAATCTGTGTATGTGAGGTCTGTCCAGAAAAGTCAAGCCAATGGAAATGGAACAAGAAGAGTTTGTGAAACATCACTCTAACTCGGCAACCAAGGATGGTGGAGTGGAATGTGCACGCAGGAACAATGATGACTTCACTGTACTAGTCAGTGGGGGTGGCAGATACCATTGAGTCAGCACGTGTACCTTATGGCATGGCATTCAAAATGACTGAGCAAGTAGAATAGCAAATCTGCATCAAATTTTGTGTTAAGCTTGAACTTTCCTCCTAAGGAAACTACTCAGAGGATTCAGAAGGCTGCAGCTGGTGATGGTCAACTGGTGATTGGCAGCTTTATCACAACAACACACCCACTCACACATCATGTCTCGTGCAGAGATTTTTGGCAAAACATCAAATCACCCAGGTGACTTAACCCCGCTAAAAACCAAATTTGGTACCCTGTGACTTCTGGCTTTTCCCAAAATTAAAATCACCTTTGAAAAGGAAGAGATTTCAGACCATCAATGAGATTCAAGAAAATACGATGGGGAAGTTGATGGCATTTAGGAGAACTGTGTGACATCCCAAGGTGCTTACTTTGAAGGGGACTGAGACATCTTGTCCCATGTATAATGTTTCTTGTATCTTGTGTGTTCTTCAATAAATGTCTCTGTTTTTCATATAACATGGCTGGATACCTTCTGGGCAGACCTCATATTGTTATCAATAGAGATGTATAATGTAAACCCTAGATTACACTTAGACAATCACTTAGGAAATAACTCAAGAATAATTTCAAAAAACAATAAGGTAATAATAAAAATGATAACCCAATTATTAAAAATGGGTAAGGATGTATATATACATTTCTCCTAAGACTACATACATCCAAGTTGCTAAAAAGCACATGAAAAGATATTCAACATCATTAGTCATCAGGTTATACATATTAAAAGCACAATAGGATACCACTTCACACTTGTTAGGATGGCTAAAATCAAAAAACAACAACTGTTGATAAGGATGTGGAAAACTGGAATCCTCACACACTGTTGAGTGGACTTAAAATGGTAAAGTTGCTCTGAAAAACAGTTTGGCAGTTTCCAAAAAAGTTTAAACATAGACTTATCATATGATCCAGCAATTACAATCCTGGCCACATACACAAAAGAAATAAATACATGTGTCCACATAAAAAAAACTGTACATGAATTTTACAGCAGCTATATTCCTAATAGCTAATAAGTGGAAACAGTCCAAATGCCCATCAACTGATAAATGGACACACAAACTGTGGTATATACATTTGCATATATAGTATATATACAATTGGATATATGTAATGTAATATTCTGCAATATAATTAACTGAAATATTAATACATGAAGTATTACAACATGAATGAGCCTTGAAAACATTATGTTAAGAAAAAAAGTCACAAAGATTACATATTGTATGATTTCATGTATATGAAATATTCAGAAAAGGCAAATCAATAGAAGCAGAAAGTAGATTAGTGGTTGCCTAAGGCAGAAAGGAGTGGAGGGAAATAGGATTGTTATTGAGTATAGAATTCCTTTCTGGGATGATGGCAATGTTCTAAAATTGATTGTATTAATGGTTGAATAACTTTATATAGTAAACATCTTTTAACTGTATACTTTTTTGAAAAAGGATACTAAAAAATTATACTAAAAATAAACTTTTTAATTAAGAAATTATGAAATAATTAAAATGGCATACTAGAAAATATTTAACATGAAAGAAGGCAGTAAAGCAGAATAAAAAAACAGACAGACACACAACTATAAAAAAACTATAGCAAAATTGCTGATATAATTCAACCTTATCAGTAATTGTATTAAAGATAAATGTATTAAACATTCCAGTCAAAAGGCAGATTATCACACTGGATAAAAAGATAAACTTCATTATATGCTGTCTATAAGAAGTATACTCTAGATTCAGTCTCAAATTAGATGAAAGTAGAAGAATGAAGAAAGATAGACTATGCAAACATAACATAAAAGAGTTGGAATGGCTATATTAAATATTAGAGGAAACAGATTTTAACATCTCTTCAGTTTCAGTTAGTCTGAAAACCTCCCTTGGTGATTCTACTGTCACAGGGATTAAGGCCAAGGGATAGGGGTACAAAGCTAATACATGGCCAAAGGTAACTAACATACGCAAACCCTAGGATTCCTCTAAGAGAAAGGGAAGAATTAGGAGCATTTAGGATTCTGGTTCCTTATATTGGGGGTGATTGATGACAAAGACTGCTTTTACTACCAATAAAACCTGAATCACACTGACAAATATTCTCTCCTGAACCGAACTCTAATCAGGCTCCTCTGAGCTCTTTTTCAACTATGCCTTGACATTTGGGCTTCTGTGTTCATTTTTGCATTATTCAATTTTATTAAGAATCCTGCTACTCAAGCCCTAAAATAAAAGAAAATTTTACCCTTTATGATAGCATGGACAGACCTGGAGAACATTATGCTAAGTGAAACAAGCCAGTCAGAGAAAAACAAACACCATATGACTTCATTCATATTTGAAATCTAATGAATAAACTTGAATTAACAAGTAAAATAGAGACAGACTCATTAGAGAGCAGGCTGACAGCTCTGGGGTGGGGGGTGTTAGGGGGTGGAGGGGCGAAGCAAAAAGGGAAAAGAACTCATGGACAACAAACAGTGTGATGATTGGGGGAGTACAAGAGGGATAAATGGTAATGAAAAAATATAATAAAAAATAAATTTAAAAAAGATTAAAAAGGGAGAAATAAAGACAGTCACCTTTGAGTTAAATGGAAAAGGAAAGAAAAATATTTTACATAAATAGACTCAAAATTCACAAGAAATTTCCTTTGTCATAAGTCTAAAACATAAATGTTGAATTAATTACAGAGTAAATATAAAATTTAAATGATAGGTATGATAGTTTTAAAAATGGAAATGTAAGTTACGAATTTGATTGAAACTTAATAATTTTAGAAGATGCTAAACTGCTGAACTCTAATAAAAAGTATATTGTACCAATATGAAAAATAAAGAGAATCCTGCTAACTCAGTTTAACTCAGAGAATCCTCACCCTCAATAGCTGGTCACCTTCAATGTTTGATCAGGTTCCTCATCTGCCTCCATCCTCCAGATGATGTCCAATCTCTTACCTGCCTTTGGCAAAACTCCTGTTAGGCTGGTTAGGCTGAAAACTCCTTTACCCCTGATGTGTTCTCTTACTAATTTTCCATCCACTGACCCCTACCCTGCTCCTTAGCTATAAATTCCCATTTTTCCTGTTGTATTTGGAGTTAAGCCGAACCTCTCTTTCTACAAAATCCCAGTGTAGTAACCCCTCTTGAACCAAGTCAACCTTACCATCTTCAACAAGTGTTACCATTTTTTCCTTAACAACACGGATGTGGATTCTTCTCAATTGACTCACATATTTAATTTTTAGTATTTACACATAATAAAAGTTATCTTACCGCTGCTAACCTTTGAGCATGGTATTCTGCTGCTGAAAAATACCTTCCTGGAGTTACCAGCTTATCAGTTACATTTGATACATATACACAAATTTTAGTCATCTGTGTGGATGTTGTATTTACAGTTTGTTGGAGCTTTCTTCTCTGAAAGACTGTCTAAAATAAAAATATAAAAATTTTAGCTAAATATCTACTCTATACACATATAAGAGCACATTTTCCTAAATACTTAATATTATTTTTTTATTTTAATTGCCATATAATTCCTTAGAAGATTTTTATTTTAAAGAGGTATACAGCATAACATTTATTGATTCTGTAACTTCAAAAACCTATAGGGAAAAATAAAAATATTACCTGGGTATCCCTACAAAATACATTGTGTTTTTCAGGAATCTTTTTAGGTATAGTTTGTGTTCCAGCATTGTGATATTCTATTCCTGTTATTTTATGTCTGAATCCACCAAGAAATGGCTTGTGAAAGTCAGATTTTACAATCTCAACAGCTACCTGCTGGTACTGATTAGTGCCTAAGGAGATAAAACCAAGACTGAATGGAAGTTCAACTATAAACCAACTTTATGATACTTTACCTAAAAGACATCAAATAACTAACCAGTTTGTACTCTGACAATTATCACTTGAGAGGCATCATCTGACCTATTTATTCTTTTGACTGGATATACATCTGGAAGTGTAGAAAAGATTTCCACTTGTACAATATCCTGTGTCTTAACTCCATGTTGTAGTAGAGTCTCATTATTTTTAAGAATCTTTCCTAAAAATGAGATAAAATTATAAGACATGTTATGACAAAAAAAATGACTATATGTACTTATTTTAAGGGGATGAAAAAATCACAGATATTTATATAAACATGTTTGATTACTAAAATATTGATTGGCATCAAGTACCAAATATTAATGGTATCCATCTCTTGCTACGTTAGTAAAGTCCACAATGTGAAAAGTCAAGGTGGTACTCCTGAGCAAGAATTCAGCATTATAAGTAAAGCTAAAACTTGCAACTCATCAGAAATGCAGAAATACAATAACCATACAACTCTGTAAGCATTTAAAAATTTTAAAAACCTATTCTATACGATGAGCGAAACCATGTTCTAAATACTCTCCAAAAATGACAGTGTTATATGTAAGCATAGGGCATACCATATCAGGGAAAACTTGATTATTTTAATACTCACCTTTCTCTCTAGCAGAAAAGTATACAGTCAGAATTCCAAAGGAATTCCTTCCTTTCTCTATTTCTATAATCAGAAACTCATATAAATTAATTAATATCAAGGTATAAATCTCAGTTTTGTGCTTGAAAAAGTACACATCACTTTATGTTGTATTGCTTCAACTTCTGCCCCCTCCCCATTGGTTTATTCTATAAATTGACTCTAAGTTTATTAACCTATTTTAAGGCATATAAAAGTATGTATAATGTTACTGGCTACTGTTTTGTATCATGAAAACTTTATTGATAGAACCCATATCAATGTTCCAATGTATGGTCATCCTAATTACAATTAATAATTTGAGCACAGCAAAGGTTTTCTTATATTTGTTCTTAGAAATGTATCACATACCACTAGCCTTTTTAATGTTTGATGATTATCAATGTATATTTTAAATTTTTTTAGTTTTTCAATTACAGTTTACATTCAATATTATTTTGTATTAGTTTTGTATGTATGCATAGTGATTAAACAATCATATACTTATAAAGTGTTCCCCCTAATATTTCCAGTACCCACCTGGCACCATACATAGTTCAAGGAAACATAAAATTCTTTGAATTTCAATATCTTACCCTAAATTCTTAATTTAAACAATTAAAATGAATGTTTCATGGGTTTTGTGATACGTTGAAATAATGGTCCCAAAATATTCACGTCCTAAACCCCAGAACCTAGGAATGCTACCTTGTATGACAAAAGTGACTGTAGATTTTATTAAGGATTTTGAGATGGAGAGATTATCCTGGATTATCACAGTGCTCTTATAAGAGAAAGGAAGAGGGAGATTTGACTACAGAGGCAAAGATATGACAGAGCAGAAAGATTTGAAGATGCGAAGATTCTGGCTTTGAAGATTTGATGATGAAGGAATGGGTTATGAGCCAGTGAGTGCAAGGAGTGCAATTCTAGAAGCTGGAGAAGGCAAGGAAGCAGATCCTTTCCAGAACTCTCAGAACAGTCCTGCTAACACCTTGGTTTTGTCTGAGTGAAAATGAGTTAGGATTTCTGGCCTTCTGAACTGTAAGGGAAATAATGTATTGCTTTAAGCTACTCAAGTTGTGACTAATTGTTACAACAGCCATAGGAACCTAATACAGATTTGGAGAGCCCTCTTCATTCCTCTACCTGTTTCTGTAGTAGGCTGAGTCCCACCAAACATGAATTCTAGGTCCAGTACCAGAAGAAAGCACCTATCTTAGGGGGTGGGTGGTTGACATAAAATCCAGCTCTTTAATTATTACTGCTACTGACATAAGCCTATTACCCAGTGGTGATGCCAAGTACTTACACATAAAAATAAAGATCATGAAGTACAAAGAGAGTCTTAAGTACCAGTGGTCAACTACGCCAGTCTCAAAATGCTTTCCTCCACTTTTGAACTTTACCTTATAGTTAATACCACATAGTTTCAAATTTCCTTTTTGGAGTTATATCTAGACTTAAGTTCAGACTCTGCCATTTATTACCTATGTGAATTTGGACAAGTTCCCTGAGCTTGAGTTTTCCTCTCTCAAAAAAAAATCATAATACAGGGTTTTTGTGCAGATTGAATAATAATGTGATAATGTAAGCAGAACATTTTGTAAAAGGACTATCAGATAGTAAATGCTCAATACATTAGCCATCATCACCAACACAATCATGATCATTAGCATCACTATCACCACTTAAATTTTAGCTTTGTTTCCCAACCAAGCTTTGATAATCAGTTGTTCGAGTACACAAACGTTACACTAACCATTACATTATTAGAGCACATTCATTGTAATAGTTTCAGGAAAACAATTTTGAAAGTCAACTGATTTATTTTTCTGATTTGGCAAGGAGGAACTCGATAGGTATGGCTAACTACTTTATAGTGCTTAGAATTTTTCCACAAGGAAATGTTATTGTGGCCCCTTTATAAGTTAATGCCAGAACATTTTAAGCTAAAATATTATGATTTGTGCAGACATATCTATAGAAGTATTTATTTAGATATATTAGTCTGGTTAACTGCACCACAAAGACTACATCCTCTCCTAACACAAAGCTAATGTGAAGTGGGTTGTTCAATATTGACCACAAAATATAAACTTGAACATCAAGGGAATATGAATTGACCTTAATGTATAGAAGACAGACAGATAAACCATGTTCAGCCCTCTTCTTATTCTATACATGCTCACTCCTCCTCAATTTTTTTCAACATCATTTTTTCCCACTCCCTGCCACGCTAAACTTCTTACCACTTCCCAAAAGTCCTAGTTTTTTTCTCAACTCTTTGGGACTTAGCATAAGTATTATGACTTTTAAAAAATATTTATTGTTGTTCAAGTACAGTTGTCTTCATTTTCTCCTCACCACTCTTCCTCACCCCACCCATGCTCACCTCCAACTCTCAATCCTACCCCTCTTTGGCTTTGTCCATGTGTCCTTTATATATGTTCCTTGACATCCCTTCCCCTTTTTTTACCCCGTTATCCCCCTTGTCCCTCCCCTCTGGTTACTGTCAGTTTGTTCTTTATTTCAGTGTCTCTGGTTATATTTGCTTGCTTGTTTGTTTTGTTGATTAGGTTCAATTTATAGGTGAGATCATGTGGTATTTGTCTTTCACCACCTGGTTTATTTCACTTAGCATATTCTCATTATCATTTCTATTAAAAGCAGCTTTCTAGAATCTCCCAGTTTCTTTCTTCTCTGTATTTGCAGCTTTTTTTAAAGATTTTATTTACTTATTAGAGAGGGAAGGGAGGAAGAAAGAGAGAAAAACATCAATGTGTGGTTGCTGGGGGCCATGCCCTGCAACCCAGGCATGTACCCTCCCTGACTGGGAATCGAACCTGCGACGCTTTGGTTCACAGCCTGCACTCAATCCACTGAGCTACGCCAGCTAGGGCTGTATTTGCAGCTTTTTGTGCATATCTCCATTAAAACATTTACACACTATGTGGTAACTACTGCATGCATCTTTCTTACTAGTCCATAAACAACTGGAATACAGGGAATTTGTTTCATGCTTATATATTCAGTTCTTGGTAAAGTATTAAGAATAAAGTATGTCCTCAATAAAAATGTGTTGAATGAATACCTAACCACAATATAGTGTTCAAAGAGTAAATATCAAGATACTTAGTTGAACAAACCAAAGATCTTGATAGTTACATGTCAAAAAATTAAATTATTAACACTAAAGAAATCTTGATAAATTTTATTAACTTCCAAACTTACCTGCATGTCTTAGCTGCAGTACATCAGATGGCACATTTAGTAAGTATGAAAAGTGATCCCTGAGGTATTTTAAAGTGCTGTCAATATTAAAAGATATTATAATTTCCTGGCCCACAGGAAGAAGAACAATTTTTACTGTAGATTATAAAAAAAGAAAAGAAATAATTATAGTCAAAAACAAGGTTAGCAACTTACAGTTCACAAGCAGATAGAAAATCATGGAACAATTTTTAATCACATAGATGCAGTTGCATCTGTCATGTTCCCCCACTACACCTCCATAATAAGAGTTACTTTACATTTTCTATGATGAGAAGTGACATTTAATTGCAACCTTTTGCTTTGAAAATCAATCTAGAATCTCAAAAATTAGCATCAATGATGAACACCTGCTCCCTCAATGCCAGCTCAAAATTCACATCTCTCTTCCATTCCCTGGCATGAGTATGAACTTAGTGCCCATTCAGGATTACCTCCTTGCTCAGAATACCACAGGAAACAGAAAATAAAACTAAACTGCTTTGAAGAATTCCCAACATCTGCTATATGTTACTCAGATATAAATATAAAAAATCTAGAGGGTGTTCCAGTGCTTTGATTAGATATTGATATCATATGTGATTAAATCAGTGCATATTTATGAAATTAAGAAAAACTAATATATTTTCAAAGAAAATTTTCTTTGACCTTGCAACTACAAAAGGAATCTCATACTAAGTCCATTTTTCTTCCCAAAATTTATGTCTACAGTTGCCAAAATGCAAAACAGAAAATCACTGCTTTGTAAATATCTGAAATTACAAAAATATCTGTAATAACTGCACAAACCAACTTTTCACAAAAACAGACATTATGTGGCTCACTCCCCACTTTGTAAATAGAAAATCAATACACATTAAAAAAACTGTCATTATAAAATGATTATTTGTTTAACAATTGTAGGAAGGAAATACAGTATTTAAAAACTGTTATGGGGTAAACTTTTTTCTTTTACATATACAGATTTTAAATTTTAATGAAGAAGATGTAATAAGACAGAAGACAGAGTGCATACTGTAAGCCAACAAAAGCCTTGTGTATTTCTAGGTGTCTGAAATGACAGTTTTCATAGGCTAAATGAGACATCAGTAATCCCAGGATGAAATTCAACTAGGCATTGTTGATGCTAAGGGTCTTTGAGCTTGTTAAAACTTATTTTCACAGTTATCTGCTAGCAAAGAGAACATTTCCACAGATGTTAAATTCTCAGAAGGCTATTTTAATTTTCATATATTGAAATTCAATGATAAACTTATTTTAAAATTTTCTTAGTAGTAAATTCCTAAATTCTGGGAAAGGAGGTGTGTTAAGGAACTTGTGAGCCTCAGGACTAAGAAAACATTTTTTAAAAGTCACCATGTGTTTGTTATAAGCTACAATATCAGGGAATCACAAAAATATCAAAAAATGGATCCCAAGTTTACAATGAAATCATAAAATTGAAGAGTAACACCTTCAATCAGATGTAATTGGACTCAATTAATTTCCTCTTCTTCCTTTTCATTCTTAGCTTATGCTTATGTGGACATGCCACATAAGAGTACACTACACCACTGGATTCAAAAGCTAAATTTCACCAGCTCCCCTACACTGCTGTTGTTATTATTAAGTGGCAGCAGGTGTTTTCCACCCTGTGGGTGAAAACTCTCTCAAAACTTGTGGACTAAGGGGAGAAGCAGCAGTCAGTTAACCACACAAGTAGAAAGGTTCTCTGTGTAACCACTTTCTTGCTGCCCCGCTCTGCTTTGTTACCAACAATGTAGCAGTATCTTCTACATGCCACCAATATTGTATCTTTAACTATAATGAAAGAGAATGATTTTTCTAAAGCTCAATATAAGGTTAAAACTACACAGAAATTTGGGCATACTTAAAAGCAACATAATGTGAGCACTGGATATGAAACTCAGAAATCTGGGTCAGGTTCCCATCCTACCATTTGCTGTCTACATAAAATTAATTCCAAATTGGCATGCAAAAAAATTACAATTATATTCAAGAACTTGCCTACTATTTTTCAAGATTTGTAAACATTTAAAAAATATACTGTATTTGGGAAAATATATTTAAAGTTTAAAGATGTTCATTTATTTAGGGAAAGTAGATACTGTAGAATAGAGAAGCTTTGCACATAGTTAAGCCATTCCAGTGGTGTAGCTAGAGAAGTTCAGTGGATAGGAAAAGGGAAATAACATCAACTATAAAACAAATCTTTAAGCAAAAACAAGAAAAAGCAACCATTCTTCAAAATGAAGATAGGAAATGTCCTATCTTCCTTAGGTAATACCTGTTGCTGAAGAATCCATCATTGGTGTTTTTAGAGTTTCCTTCACAGCCTTCATTTTTTCTAGAAATGCCACATAATCATTTGAATGCTCCTTGGCTGACTGTGTTGCATTATCATAGACTGTTAAATAGGGCTCTTTATAATGTCTTAGAGACTGTGAAATCTGTTGGGGAGACATAACCTCTTCCATGAGCTGTTCTTCATCGTTTGATGGCAGGCTTGCAGAACTCTGGTCACTCTGCTCCTTAACACGGCCACCACCAGATGGTTCTGGTTCTAATTCATTGTCTTCTGACTCTGGAAGGTCTTCTGACGTAACTGGAATATTGATAGCCTCATAAGCATTGTCACTTTCTTCTGCTGCATTAAGAACATCCTGAGCATCAAATTCTTCTTCCTGTTTAGACATCTTCCTGAATTGAGAAAAATTAATATTTACTATACATAAAAATTTCTCTACCAAATATCAAATTCATTGCTGGTATACAGTAATGTTCATAATATATTAAAATGTTGCTCATTAATTTAAAAAAATGATTATCTTGGTAATAACATCAGGTAAAACATCAGTGAATTTTTAATAAAAACACCACAGAAAGTAAACATGTATTATCAAAAAGAAACTCCAAGCACAAGTAATTTGAAAGAAATCTTTAAAGAATATATTGAAAAATATTTTGAAATATATTGTCATCTCTTCCTTATCCAATAATCAATATTTGTGAAAGGACTTTTTGAATAACTTTTTTCCTAAATACAAAACTAACATAGGATTTATGCTCTGGCATTACAATTGGTTAGATATTCTAAGAAACCCAACTCACAAGGCAACTATAACCTGGATAGTACACTCTTGGTGGCAGCTTTGATCTCAAAAGTTGTAGCAGAGATCTCCAGTGACCTCTACTCATTCCCAAAACAAACATATCAACAAACAAGTACGCACTGATCCTGGAGCAGGATAGGGCCTGAGCTGCTTACTGCAACCAGAAGCTTTGGCCTGGAAAACAGTTTGACAGCATCTAGGAGCTTGGGTCAGGGTGGAGGAGGGCAGCCCAGAGCCAAGCAACATAGACAAGAGCTGGTTCAGAGTAGTAAAGGGCCAGTCAGCAGTGAGCCTAACTACAGAGGCTGGCAGTCAGGAAGGAGGGATAGAGGAGGTGACCTTGAGGCTAATTTCTGCGGCAACCAGCAGAGGGAAGGTTAAAATTTGGAACAGTAGTGAGATGGGAAGTCTGAGACTGGGGTTTCCGTTTGAAGCACAAATCCTTATGGAGAAAAAAATTAACCTGAGTCAGTTAAGTTGTCTGGCTACTAGTTGACAAATTTTAAAAAATGTATAGTTTTATCTGGAATAAAACTATATATTTGTTGAATCCAATGAATATAGTATTAGAGTTGAAGAGGGAATTAGTAAACTGCAAGATAAATAGATTTTACACAAAGAGCTGCAAAGAAATAAGGATATAAAAAATATGAGAGTTTAGGAAGCATGGAAAAAAGAAAAAGAAAGTCTAGTATATTTTTCTGCTAAGCATATACTTTGTTGTGAGCTAAGAATGGGCTTGTGTTGCTAACATAAAAAACAACAAAGAACATACAAAGAGACTGTACGTGGCCTGTGAAGCCCTTTGCAGAAAGTTTGCCAGGCCCTGATCTAGCATATGTCAACTTGAAGTCCCAGAAAAAACAGAAAGATGGAAAAAAAGGAAATATCTTAAAAATTGTTGACTGAGAATTTTTCAAAATGATGAAATATAGATCCATATATAATGGACCCAAGAAGCACAACATAAATATATACCTAACAGGATAAAGAAAAATAATTCATAGCCACATATTGTAATTAAATTACAGAGTAACAAGGAAGGTCCAGAAAGAAAACAGTAGATGATATATATCATCTACTGTTTTGAATCATATTAATTTGCTGACATTAATAAAAAGGAAAGAAAAGTAAAATCACTGCAGATTGCTCATCAGAAAATTAGAAGCCAAGGCAACAATGTACTAATTAAAATAAGATAGCAACCAACCCAGAATTGTGTACCCAGCAAAATTATCTCTCTAGAAAGAAAACAGATTTATTTACAAGTAAGTTACCACCAAGATACCTGCTCTAAAAAAAAATTTATCTAAAGGAAACACTTGAAAAAGGAGGAAAATGGACCCAATGGAAGCATGAAGTTCAAAGAAGAAAAGATGAGCAAATAATGAGCAAATAAATAATAAACATGGGTAAACCCAAACAAATATTGTCAACACAAAATAACAGCAAAACCTTGAAATATTGGACAACAAAATACAGTATTAGGAAGGGAAAGATGAGAATAAACTGTTCCTGAATCCTTATACTATTTAAAAATTGAGGGATCTGATATTATTAATCCTAGATGTTGTTAAATTAAATATACATGGTTAAGTTTCCAGTACAGAAATAAAATAACTAAAGTTTTAAAATTTCAAAACAAAGAGGAAAAAACATAAACTGAGATCAAACTGAACAGAAACCAAACTTTTTAAAAAGATTTTATTTATTTATTTTTAGAGAGGGAAGGAAGGAAAAAAGAGAGAGAGAGAGAAACATCAATGTGTGGTTGCTGGGGGCCGTGGCCTGCAACCCAGGCATGTGCCCTGACTGGGAATCGAACCTGCGACACTTTGGTTCACAGCCTGTGCTCAGTCCACTGAGCTACACCAGCCAGGGCAGAAACTGAATTTTTTTAAAATTCAACAAACCTCTTTAGGCTCTCACCCACTACAAAAAAAAAAAAAAATCTTCCTTTTGGTCATTTTCTCCCATAACAGAGCTTACTGGCTTGATTAGAAAAAGAGTATCTAAACAAACCCTAACTCTTAGCAGCATACTCATCCACCTGTTTTGAAGAGTCGGGGGTAAAGCTCCTGTTTCTATCTGGTGGGTCATCCCCTAAAACAGCCAAGATGGCATCTTCTAAATCAGAAACAACAACAAAACCAAGAACTGCTCTCCAAAAACCACAACTAAAATAAGAAGACAAACCACAAACTGGGAGATATCTTTTTCTGCAAAACTCTTATCTGATAAAGGACTTGTATTCAAAATATATAGAGAACTCTGAAAACTCAATAAGAAAATAATAACAGTACAAAACAAAAGAGTAAACAATTAAATAGACATATCACCAAAGAATACATATGGAAGGCAAATAAGCAGGGCCAGGACTAGAGACTGAAGCCAAATGTGGTGCCTGCACTACGTTACACTTGCACTTGAGCCTGAGAATAAATGTGTTCTAAAATTTTGGACTTAGTTGCCTCAATCACCTCATTCTACCTCTGGCCCTGAGAACAAGTACATGAAAAGATGATCAATGTCATTAGTCACTGGAGAGATGCACCTTCAAATCACAATGAAAATTCACTGCACACCTTACAGTAGTTAATATGTGTTTGTTTAGGGTTTTTTTGCCCAACAATATCAAGGGTTAGTGAGCATGAAGACACATGGCTTTTATAACTTGATGGTAAAAACATGCATTGGAACAACATTTGGGATAATTTGTCAGTTTTCTTATAAAATTAAACACATACTTATCATATAACTCAGCAATCTATGTCCTGTACCCAAGTGGAATAAAAAGGTACATTATAAAAAACTTTATAAATACTTTATTCTTTTTTTCTTTTTTTAATTTTTTTAATGTATTTGTAGAGAGGAAAGGGAGGGAGAGAGAAAGAGAGAGAGAGAGAGAAACATCAATGTGCAGTTGCTGGGGGTCATGGCCTGCAACCCAGGCATGTGCCCTGACTGGGAATCGAACCTGCGACACTTTGGTTCACAGCCCGTGCTCAATCCACCAAGCTACGCCAGCCAGGGCAAGACTTTATTCTTAATCACCAAAGACTGGAAACAACGCAAATGTTCCTTAGCTGATGGACACATATACCATGATATATTCATAAATGGAATACAACTTATCAATAAGAAGGTATAAACTACTGATACATACAACAATATGGATAAATCTCAAATTATGCTAAGCAAGAAGCCAATCTGAAAGGCTACATACTGTATGATTTCCTTAAGAGAAAAAGCAAAGCTGTTGGTTAACGACCTCAAGAGTTTCCCAGGTGAAATCCAAAACTTCAAGAGACAGAAAAAAAAGGCGAACCTCACCAGTTGGTATGGTAGGTGGCGCGGGTTTTTTTACTGATTTTTTTTTTGAGAGAGGAACTTTGATTTGTTTTTCACTTTTTCATGCATTCACTGGTTGCTTCTTCCCTGTAGGCCTTGACCAGGGATGGAATCCACAACCTTGGTGTATCAGAATGATGCTGTAACCAACTGAGCTACTGGGCCAGGGCAGTAGGTGGCAGTTTTAATAAGCAAGAGAACTTACATAGGAGGTTTGTCTTGGGCAGCTGCAAAGAGGGGTAGATCTCTGCAATCACCTATCAAAATTTAAGTTTGTAGAGAGGCCTTAATCCACCTGAGTCATGTTCACAGACCAGATGGTCTCAAGAACACACTTATCGCTTAAGAAGGGGTGTCAAACTCATTTTCACCGGGGGCCACATCAGCTTCGAGGATGCCTTCAAAGGGCCGAATGTAATTTCAACTCTTTCACAGTTAAGGAGTAGTTACATTTACACAGTCCTAAAATTATTTCGGCCCTTTGAAGGCTGATGTGGCCGCTGGTGAAAATGAGTTTGACACCCCTGCTCTAAAGTCTTCCTCCTAGAAGCAGCTCCTAGAACAGTAATGGACCAGTGGGCAGAACCTTCACGGATAGTGGAGGGGGTAAGAAACCCCCACTGCCTTGTCCAGTTCAAGGGTCAACCCACAGTCATGTCCTCTTGATGACCTCCTACAAAAGAACAGACCAGTAGGTACAATTTTACAGGTACAACTACATATTTGTACATGCAGAGAGTACCTCTAGAAGAGGAACTGGAGGACCAGGCAGCTTCTGGCGGGAGAGGGGAATGGGTGAAACGCAGATTTTCACTGTTTATTCTTTTTACTGTTTAAACGTTTTGTCATTTGTGTGTATTATCTATTCAGAAGTAAATATTTTTAATCTTAAAAATTGTTTAAAAGAAAAACGCAATCTCTATTACAGTTATATACAAAAAGAAGTCCCCCTTTCACCTACAAGGTATGATAGATCTAGAATGTAGTGTAAGTAGTAAGGCAGCAATCTAGTTTTGATTTCTACCAAATAGACTTGAGTTTTAAAGTCTTTTTAAAAAGGCACAGCAAAAGCATGGGTGGAATGGAGTGAGAGTGCCAGTGAGAACGGTCTGCAAGCCCTCTATTTACTAAAGACTGAAAATGGTCACCGTGGATAACTAAATGTTACATCTGGCGTCTACACTATTACCGTGAAAAAGCATTTGGGGTGGGAGGTGTGATAACCTCCTAGCTAGATGCTGCTCCTTCTGAATCCTAAACCACAGACGCGGACCCAGAAAAGGAACCCAAGAAAGAAAGGTTGCTTTGCACAGTTTTTAAAGTAAGGGTGGAACATTCTGACCGGTCCAACAGACCCCAGAGCCGGGTCGGCACAAGCGCCCGGCACACAGACCACAGAATCCAGCGCGGGTTGAGTACCCGACTGAAGGGCGGTCCAAGGGTTGGGTCTTGAGAGGTCAACGAGAATCTGTGCTCCTACCTAAGATACTTGGCTACTCGGGTCCAGGTGGTTCCTCCAAGTATCCTTACAGGCGCAACTGAAGCCCGATTCTGTTGCTCGCAGTAACCTAGCAACAACCCTCGCACCACCTCCTCTCGCCTCGCCCAGCTCCCGAAAGATGAAGATCTCGCGCTTGAAAAGATGGCAACCGAGGGGCGGAGTGGAGCCAGGGGGTAATGGGTGGGACGAGAGTGGGAGGGGCACCAGAGGCGGGGCAAGGGCGGGGCAGTGGTTACTTGCAGGTTAGATATGAAAGTGAATCAGACTCAACCATTCTTCCAGATCCCTTTTACACTCGTGGAAGTGCACCGTTCTTCAAACCAAACACTGGAAGCAATGTACGCTTATAAACATAAGAAATCAGAATTATAGAAAATATAAATATGAGATGAGAATGAAGACCTTGACAAAGGAGAACACAGTTGTACAACAGTAGGTGCCTACTTGCTTTTGTTAAATTTAGAACTTGGCTCTTAGCTTCCTGGCAACCAGAGGAAAGGGAGACAGGAGCTATTACATAATACCCCTTTTAGGTCAGAAGCAGCAAAGCTTTTGTGAATCACTAAATGTAAAGGGGGTTTTTTTATGTGTGTCTATCATCGTAAATTCTTTAAATTGAGAAAGTTTTAAAGAATTAGAGGAAAGGATCATTTACATTCCTATTACAAATGTAATAACAATGTGGCTGCCTTATAATAATAGCTAACATTTATTAAATATTTGTTACTTTATATTTATAATTTAATCCTTGCAATAACTTAAGGAAGAGCAGTGACTAGCTCCACTTTACTAGTGAAGAAACTAAGGTTTAGAGAGGTTTAATGAGGGAGTCAGGATTAAATCCAGCAAGTATGAGTCCAGAGCCTTTACTTTAAACCAATAATCTATGCTACCATGTTTAACATGCTTTGCTATTTTAAAAGGATATAACAGAATAAAATTAAATTTTTTGTTATATATGGTACACTTCATTCCTCCTTCATAATGTTCAATGTTTTCATTCCTTTATATCATTCTACTAAAATTGCTTTCGCACCTCCCAGTAACTTCCTAATGTCCGATGTCATTTTTTAGTCCTCACCCTATTTTAAAATATTTATTACTAGTGCAATATAAAATATGTATTATAGCTCAGATAAAGCTGATTTTAATAATGGTTTTCAATAAAAGCAAATGCATTTAAACCACTAACTGCATGAATCCACATATTCATGAAGAGCAGAGAAAAGGGAAGAAGGAACATTCATAAACCACTAGAGTTAGTCTTTTATGGGTAAACCAGGGTAATTGGAGGTGTGCAGACAAGGGCCTCCAAATACTCCTCCACTTCCACCTCCAAAGTCATAGTATATCTTAATTTTACTAGTAATGAGAATTCCACTAGTTTTAAACACTCACCTTTCTTGGCTCTCCTCTTTGAAATGTACTATCCATTGCCCTTCATGTAAGAAAAAACTAGGTTTAATCATAGACGTAGGATATGGAGGGAAGAAAACGTGGTGGTAGAGAAGATCAAGTACTTCCCAGTGTTAAATGTGCCTGGATACTCACTCTGTGTTCATGTTTTATTAATATTTTACTGTAGAGATGATCTTACACAATCATCTGAGTCTAACATAACTGGCAGGCTTCCCAGGCCCTCCATTCTATTCAGGATGGAAAGGTTATTAGCACATCAAAACCACACACACACAATAATGATTTGGTTGTGTAAAATAAATGTAAATGCAAATTGAAAATAACAATGGGAAAGACTCAATTCTAAAAGTAGAAAAATAATTTTACATCATTTTCCATTTACTTTCCACAATAAACCTATATTTGGGGGGAATTTATTGTCCCTAATGAATTATCTTTATTTCTCATGAAACACCTACCTTTATTTATCTCAGCATTTATTATACAATGAACATTTTAAAATGTGCTTTATTTTTACAAAGATGCCACCTAGTGGCTTTATGAAATCAAGCATTTCAAAGTATTTACCATTGGTACTTAAGGCTAAAATGTATTTCAATACAAGTGAATGAACTAGAAAAATAGAAGAATACTGATGTCTTAAAGTCATGCTTTCGAAATCACCTATATGGACTAAATTTGCATCCTAACACCTCTGTGAGCTAGTTAAGAGACTAGAAATACCCATAGTATTTCCATAGTCCCTATTCTACACCTTTAAGGGGCAGACATGTTGGAAATTCAGAATTTTTCCTGTTTTTGAAAGGTAATATGGGCATGTACTGTATATTCTGTGACACCTTCCATGGATCTGGAGATATAGAATCAGAGAGACAAAATCAAACACATTAATGGTTCTGTAGAAAAATATGTTCTTATTCACATTAAAGTGAGATAAAGTCCACAAATAGCCTTATGTTAATACCAGTCAGATTTTGCTTCCAATGAGTTATGAAAATTTTTGGAGTTTGGAACTTAGGGAATTTTGGAAATATATTTTACCTTGAGAAAAAATAGTCAGCCCTCCCGTTATAGGAAAAGAAAAAAAAGGAAATAAATACCTAGAAGTTTCACCTGAAAGAATAAAAAAACACCCATATTTGTGATGATGAGAATTCCCTCCAAAAGAATCTCTGAAATACTTTTCATTTACAGAGTTATATACAGAAAGAAGCTAATCCACCATAAATTATATTTGGGCACACTGCAAAAAATTAGCTGCTGATATAAACATAAAAAATCTCTGAAATTTAATTAGCAATGCATGGCAAGATAAATTTTTTAGTTCTACAGTACATTCAAAACATTGTAAGATCCCTGGCTGGGTGGCTAAGTTGGTTGCAGTGTAAGCCACTACACTAAAAGGTTGTGTGTTCAATCCCTGGTATGGGAGGCAACCGACTGATATTTCTCTCTTCCCTACACCCTTCTGCTCTCTCTGGAATCAATGACCATGTCCTTGGGTGAGGATTTTTAAAGATTTTTCTTCTCAACTTCAGTTTAATATTTTTGTTTCTGGGTGTGATGCACCATGTTCCCTGTCCTCTGCTTGTGTTTATGGAGGCATGTCTTGAAATGGCGCCATCCTTAGCTCGGATCCCTTGCGTGCCTCTTGAACACTATCAGCCCTCATTAGACATGTAATATAAGAAACAAACTTTGGATGTGTGAAAACTTTTGGGTTTAGGACTACTTTTCTCACTACTTTCTTCCACTAACTAAAGTTTTGGCTTATTACCTCTACATAACGATTTTTGAATCAACTTCTCCAGTTCCTATCAATAATTCAAATCTCATGTCACATTCCCATTTTGATTCTTGTGAATTCTATTTAAAATAAACCTATTTATACTCCTCTATATGAGATTCCTATCATCTCATTTACTTTCCTTAGAGTATTACTATTATTGTAGCATAGGCTGCAATCCCATTGAGTATCAAGTTTTAAAGGAAATTCTGCACACAGATGCAAAATACTCATGGTATGTTTAGTGAATGGTACTTTACCCTAGACCCCAGAATACCCTTGCAGAGGGAGTATCTTTGTTTTCTTCTTATAACTATAGAGACTGGGAAGAAAAAGTTCATTGTTAGCCTACATGTAAAAACTTTTTTATACACATTGTCTCTCTTCAAAAAAGAAAACACGAGGCCTGATATAGATGACTGGAGAAATGGCATCGGAGCACAAAAGTCCACTCTACAGTTGGGTAACATGTTAAGTAATGCCTTATAAGACCTGAATCCTTGGCATCTGAGAGTAGTCAAACCGAACTCTAGATTTTGTGGGAGAGTTCCTGGATAAATAGAAATATCGTCTTGGCTGTCAAAAGGAATTATAGCTGGGAAGGCCTGATTGAAAAGCCTGCTGATGCATCAGATGGAGAGACTTTTTTTTAAGATTATATTTTTTAGAGAGGGAGGGAGGGAGAGAAACATCGATCAGTTGCCTCTCACACACCCCCAACAAGGGATTTTACCCAAAACCTAGGAATGTGCCCTGACTAGGAATTGAACTGGAGACCTTTCAGTTCACAGGCCAGTGTTCAAACCATTGAGCTGCACCAGCCAGGGCAAGAGACAACTTTTTTTCATTGAACTTACTGGAGTGACATTGGTTAATAAAATTATATAGGTTTTAAGTGTACAATTCTGTAATACATCATCTGTATACCGTTTTCTGTGTTCAACATCCCAAGTCTTTCTGAACTATCTACCCCTCCTATACCCTCTTCTACTTCCCTCCACCCTCCTTCCCCTCTTGTAATTACATTTTTGTGTGTCTGAGTTTGTTTAATCCCTTGAACTTTTTCACCCAGCTCCCCACTGGACAGCTGTTAAGTCTGTTTTCTGTACCTATGAGTTTGTTTCTATTTTGTTTTGTTCATTAAACCACATATCAGTGAAATCATAAAAGCAATTCAGCAAGTCTTCCCATTGTAATAGAAGTCCAAAAGTCATCTACTTAAAATCTTGATCTCCACTTGACAGACTGCTTTCTCTCCTATTTATTTAGGGTCCTAATACTCATTGTTGTGCCTGCAAATAAGCCTGCTTTGCATTATAAAAACGAACAAAACAAACTCCCTTAGTTTTACCTAACTACATTTTAGAATTAGAAAAGGAAATACAACAATCCAAAATAAGCTCCTTCTAATTGCCCACTTCTGACAGAAAGGTAGAGAAGCAGAATGAAGAGTGAAGCCTGGTAGCCATGGCATATGATGGTTGCCACTGTTATCATATTCTTCCTATTCAGATGACAAACTACTCCAGCTTCTCCAGGTGTAGCAAACATGGCAACTCTGAGCACTAGTCCTTACTCCATGTGGGTACGGCATTATCCTGTTTGCCCAGGGCAATAATGATTTATATGTTATTCTTATAACTTCCTTTCACTCTCAAAACTGTTACAAGTTCAATGAAAAATCATACAGTGATTTTTCCAGATATAAGCCATTTTCACCCCAAAGGAAAGCATGCCTATGTATTTGAACATTCTGCATTTAGTCCACAGATAGAAGGGGGAATGGATTTTGCTGCCATTTTCTTGTTTGCAAAGCTCAAATTGATTAGCTTCTTATGAAGTGTCTGGAGTATAGTAATTGAATAAACAACACACGAGAAGTCTAAGAAGTGAAGTCTAAGAAAAATTTTTAGAAATTATTCATATTAGCCTAGTTGCCCCTCAGCAACAATGAATGTCTTTAAATAGAAGAATCATTTCCAACTGGTCAGGAAATCTTAATCTGGAAGTATACAGGAAGAAACTGGAAAACATCTGAAAGAGTAAAAACAATCCAGCTTAAGGTTTTATAGGCTGTTAGAATGGAAGTTATGAAACATTAAAAAAAGGACGGCCCACACCGCAATGCCTTTTAGATACCTACCAGTTATCAGCCTGTGATCTATGTGAAGATTTTTGCATAAAATCCAGTATACTACTTCTGTTCAAATTTATTCTTTACATGTATTGTACTTCCACAGACAAAGTCAAGAACCCAGGATCTATGTTCTTCTGGTACTGCCCATATAAGCACAGGCAAGAGTGACACCTCAAGCACTCATAAGGAATAATATAAGGTTAGGAGCATGAGTTCTGGAGCAAGACTGTTTTAAGTTCAAAATGTAGCTCCATATCTTACTAGTATGTGACCATGGGTATGTTATTACACCGTCTCTTTGCCTCAATTTTTCCAGGATCCCCATGTTGTACCATTACAAGGGAGCACTACTCACATTGAATTCTGGTTTCCTTGTGTGGAAAATGGAGATAATATTCAGGATTTCATTCTTAAGAGTTGTGCACATTTAATAAGTGACATCAGTCAAGTACTTGGTGCCTGGCAAACATTAACAAATTAGCTATTATTATTATAGCTACTACTAAACTACAACTTGCATTTCTAATGCAAACATCAATAAGGTCCCCTTTTATCAATAGCCACTAGAGCTCTATTGGTGCAATATGTAAGATGTCCAAGAATCATGGGAGAAATGGGGCTGAAAATATGACAAAGGCTCATCAAGCCACTTTTCTGTTTCTCTGGTTGGTTAAAAAGTTATCTTAAATGCATCTATCCTAACATGGTTTAGGATCAACCATCTATTTTCATTATCAACAAATATATTATATACTAAAGCAAATGTTTAGAATTGAAAAGTTATAAATCACAAATTCTACTTCTCTTACAGAGCAGGGCATAGGCCATTCTGAGAGGCTGACAACTTGCCTCCACTAAGTCACTGAGTTCACGATGGCGCCAGAACCATGCCTGGACTTCTGACTCTCCCTCTAATGCCTTTCCTACTTCCCCCACAGCTTTCTCTTTACAGTCTGGCTGCTAAAATGTAGCTCAGTCCACTTCATTTAAATATTCATTTAGCATTCAATTTATATCTTTATAATGGGAGAAATTCATTGGGAAAAAGAAAAATACAATTTTCTTTCTCATTCTGATTCTGCTTTGTCACAGAGACAGCAGAACACACATGCACACACACACAAACCCTGAAGTACTGTCTTTGAAGGTGAGAAATGCCAAATTTGACTAAGTTTTCAGAAATGATATGGGCTGGAAAGAAAAGGCAAGGACACCTGAAAAGTAATTTTATTTTTAACCTTAAACTTGTCAATTGTTTCTTTCCTCGAACAGCTTTATCTTGATACCCAGCTACACTCATTGGAAACTTAGTAAAAACTACTTGGTGTCTCCACCTGGAAGTTATAACCATACAACTAAGATGTTTTGAATAAAAGCCTATCCACATGCCGGATAAACTTTAGGAACTCTTATCATCTCTTCTTTTAGAGAAACTCTCTCTGCTGGTATAGTTTGACTAAGGGCCAGAAAGCTAACTTCCTTAAATGCGACAAAAATTTAAGTTTCCCAACTACCACTGTAAATAAGAAATCTTTCTTTCAAATACAAAATCAATTTTCTCAACTGTACAATGAATTATAATTTAATGGTTTTTCTCTTACTTCACTTCAAACAGCGACCTACACATCTGTTTAAGCAATAATAAATTTCTTCCTGGTTTTGTCAGAATAAATAAAAAATCAAATGTGTCAGAAATACTACTAAAAATATTTCACCTATCAAATATGTGGCCTGTGCACTGAAACACAGAAATTTTTCCAATTAATTTTCAAACCTTATAGAACCTCTATTTTATAAAATATCAATCTTTGAAATAATTTGAATGAATGCTTTAACAAAAACTAATTCGTAAGTCCCTATTATCATAATCATCAGTTTTAACAAGTCTCCTAAATATATTCTACATCAGTTTTCTTGATTATTAGATGTCAATAATATGGACATATTTTTGATATAACAGAACATTTAATTACATCAGTTTCCCTTCAGCACACAAGTCATTTGATGATGATTATATTGGCCATTTCCACTGGTTGGCAGGAGGCTCTTCCACTAACGGCTCCCAAGGTTTCCATTGTATCATTTTTCTGGCCAGACTTAGTTCATTTTCAGCCTGTTAATAAAATTTAAAAAAAAATCATTTGATTATACTGTGTAATAGATATTTATCATAGTTAATAAGTAAAATATAACTAATCAAAGCTATTATTATTGTATTAATACCTAATAAGCTGTTCTACCAACAAATGTTGAATATTAATTAAATTACCTTAATTGTCACAGCTATGCAATTACTATCAGTAACAAAGATTTTGATTTCTTCTATTTGGTTAAATTTTGCTATTAAATTGTTTAATTGCTGAGTTCAATCTTAGTCATCTATTTCACCATTAGATTACAAATTCTTTGAGGATCAAAAGTATGTCTCCTCATTGATGTCAATGGCTTTCAAACTTTATTTTACCATGGCCCACGGTAAAAGAAAAACATTTACTAAGGGATCCACAATATACAAATATAACTCAAACAAAAAAAAAATTACCTTTACTATGATGCACTCTGTTTTCTACTGTATTTTTTCAAGTGCTAGTCACAAGCCACCTGTCTGATTTCATGTCCATAATCATGAGACCCCTTTATTAAACAGTGATCTATGGAATGTAGGACTACGGTAGCTGCAAAAGATAACTTATTGGTTGGATTCGTTTCCTTAATCAGACTGTTACACATTTGTCCTTTCAAACACAACTGATAACACATTTAACAAATATATTTTAGGTATCTCATCATTTCACACTTTTCCTAGAACAACATACAACAACTCTGGCCAACTTAGAAGAACGCTATTGAACACTTGTCACGATGTCAGAAAAGGAATTCAAACACAGAGTAAGTGCTTAGATTTCATCAAACGCTGTAATTCTAAAGTTAAAAGACAACATCCCATTTATGCCAGTGGTTCAAGACAGGCAACCTATGTTTAGCAGCAACAATCTAAAATGTGTATCAACAAATTGAAGAGTAGACTAAAGGAAAGCTGGAGGCAGAGGTATTTACAAAAGCTGATGAGAAAACAGTAGCAATACTGAATAAAAATATCCCTTATGATGACCATTTGCCAACCTTCTGGTCTAGGTCTCTTGAACACTCATGCTTTTTCTACACCCAAAGCATTGTACCATGTGGGGAGGGTATCTAGCCCTGAAAATCAATGAAGCCAGCCCTATTTCAGGGAGCTGGACCCTACTGCATGTGGCCCTTGTAGCCCACTCCCTCCCTCGTCTCTAGCTTCTAACACACTATCCCTTCCTCATTCCTCTCTTACGTTCCCTCTAAAAATGGACCATCCATCATGGTAGCCACTACCTAAATAAGACTACTCAGTGATCACTTGAAATGTATCTAGCTCAAATTCAGATGTGCTACAAGTATAAAACACACACCAAATTTTAAAGATTTAGTGTAAAAAAGAATGTAAAATATCTCAATTTTTATACTGATTATGTTCCAATAGTAGATATATTGGGTTATATAAAACATTATTAACTTTATCTTGCCCATAAAAATGTGCAGAACTGCATGGCTGACTTAAAAATACTTAATGAACCCTGAGATTACAATTTGTAATAAATTATCACCTAAAGCATAATCAAAGTGAAATCAGGTAGAAAAGAAAGAGGACTAGGAAGGGGACAATAAGAAGTTTGCAATAAGTTCCCATAACACTATATAGTCAATATGGCAAATGAATAGCAAGACCAAGAAAACAGGTCTCTGAATGACTGCAACAGTCTACACTCCTCAAAAGCTGTCTGAATGCCCCATTCCTCTTTTAACAGAGCCACCTATCAATTCTTTCAAACATCACAACTATTGGTGAAATAACTCCCTAATTTATAATAATTTCTACAATTTCCTTTTATTTGTCCTTTGAAAAAAAGAAAACAAAAAAAATGACTACATTTTTGAAAAATACAAAAACATGTAAAAATCAAATGAAACAGAACTAAATATTTGTCAAACTTATATAAAAGGAAGATATAGGGGTACACAGAGGGTGGATTATTTGACCAAATAAAAAACTGAAAAACTTCTACATATGGGAGAAAATATTTAATTGAAGTCAAAAAGCAAAGAACACACTAAAAAAAAATGTTTAGGCAATATGGCAAAAGATTAAGATTAGTATTACTTTTATTATAAAAAACACTCAGAAATATATAAGAAAAACATTAAAAACATTAATAGAATAAAAATATTAATTTGTAAGAACATATTTTAAAGTGTAACCTCACTTGTAATTGGGGAAACAAATGCACAACTAAAAAAAGGGGGTGAGCATCATTCCCCCCAATTTAATGAAAAATTGTAGCATTCTTACCAAGCCATTAAAACTTAAAAGTAATATCTAAAAAGATAAAATTATTGAAATAACAGTAATATTGTTATTCATTTGAACCAAACTAAGGCTAACAAGAACGTGCCCCTTATATTCAAAGAATATCAAACTCTGAACTTCTAACAGAAGCTTGTAATTTGTAAATTCAAATTATAATCAATGATATTTAACTAACATACACATTAGGGGTATTTTCTACATGTGATTAGACAATATTTGGTGAGTTGATATAAGACACTTAGTTTTCCTTTCTTTCTGGAATATCAGTTTTGTGCCTGTATTCCTTGTGTCTCTGAATTTTTGAAGCTAAACATCTAACATCTAAATATTCAACTTTTTTTTTTTTTTACCTGAAGAATCACCTCTTCTATTTGGCCACCCTGAAGTTGGTCTTCTAATTTTTTAACATCTGGTTCCTATAATTTAAGGGAAAAGAAAAAACCAACAGAAAAATATTTAAATAAATACAATATCTGAATGTTTTAATACCCTATATTTTAAAAACTCATATACAAAAAATGTCCTTGCTAACAAACATAATTCATTTTTCTTTCATTGTATTCTTACTAATTTTTACCAGGTATTTGGCGGAAACCCATTTAATCTATTTCATTGCTTTTCTATCTTAACATTAAAAAGTATTAAACATAGCCCTGACTGGTATGACTCATTGGGTTGGGTATCATCCCACAAACCGAAGGGTTGCCAATTCGATTCCTAGTTGGAGCACATGCCCCAGTTGCAGGCTAGGTAGGTCCCAGTTGGGGGCATGAGAGAGGTGACCAATCGGTGTTTCTCTCGAACATCAATGTTTCTCTCCCTTTCTCCCTCTTTTCCTCTCTCTAAAAACAAATGAACAAAGTATTTAAAAAAACATTAAACATATATTTACATGCTTATTAAGAGAAGAAATATGATGCCTAATTCAGTCTGTCTAAAATACAGATTTTAAAATACCACTTTATTTTCTTAGTATTACTTATATTTCCTCTGATACCATTAGCATTAAAAATAATTACTCTATGACCCAGAATTCCACTCCTAGGTATAAACCAAACAGAAACGCATAATATGTTAACCAACTAACATGTTCAAGAATGTTCCAAGAAGCAAAAATCAGCCTCAAATTACAAGCTGTCCAAATGACCATATTTAATAGAATGAATGAACTACAGTATTTGAATATAAGAAAATACTATAAAGCAATGAGAATGAGCAAACTATAACTATAAACAATAGCATAGATGATTCTCTCAAATGTAATGTTAAGTGAAAGAAACCACATAGAAGAGAGTAGACACCAATGGTTCCACTCAAAACCTGTCAGAGGTCAGAAGAGCTGTTATCTTTTAGGAGGTAGTAACTTAGAAGGAAACAAGAAGGACTTTGGTGTTCTGGAAATGTCCTCTCTTTTGATTTGCTTTTAACACGAGTGCTATAACTTTGTGAAAATTCATCAAGCTCTACACTCATGATGGATTTCTGCACATTTCTTTCTGTACATTATTCGTCCATACAAGGTTATTTAAAAAAAAAAAAGAAAGAAATGCTGATACAGTACCTAGAAGATCCAATGACATATATTTACTTATTTTCCAGGAGACTGAGTTTTTGAAAGCCAAAAACCATACATACACATATGTAAATATATGTAAATAGGGTGAGTTCTGAGGTCATAAATGAAATAAAAGAGAGTGAGAAAAAAAGATATTCTCTACAGAAATTGGCATGCTACTGCCTTAAGGCATCTGTAGGCTGACCAGTGTATCTGCATGGCTTGTTGTTCCTTCACTTCTAGCCAAGTCTTGCTTTGTGTATCATCTCCTTAGGGAGGACCACTTGTATTGTGGTAAACTGAATACTGCCCCACCGGTTGTACCTGAACTAATCCCTTGGAACCTGTGAATGTTACCTTAGATGGCAAAGACTTTGTAAGTATGATTAAGAATCTTTTGATCAGAAGATTCTCCTAGATTATCTGAGTGAGCCTTAAATACGATTACAGGTGTCCTTATAAGACAAAGGCAGAGGTAAATTACACATAGAGGAGGAGAAAGTAATGTGACCACAGAGGCAGAGTTTGGAGTGATGCAGCCACAAGCCAAGGAATGCCAAAAACCACCAGAGCTAGCAGAGGCAAGAAATGAATTCTACCCTAGAGCCTCCAAAGGGAACACAACCCTGCCAACACCTTGACTTGGGCCTCTGATACTTATTTTAGACTTTCGGTTTCCAGAACTGTTAAGAGAAAAAAATTTCTATTGTTTTAAGAGACCAAGTTTGTGCTTACTTATTACAGCAGCCATAGGAAACTAACACATATTATAACATATCCTCATTACCCTGGAACAAAAATCTTCCTTTTTAAATTTTCCTTCACTATATTTACTATTTTCTGACGTACTACATAATGTACTTTATTCACTTACTTATTTTACTTACTTATTTATTTATTTTTGTCTCCCATAATTAATGAGAAGGCAGGGATTTTGATGTTTGGTTCACTGTCATGTAAGCACTAGCTTTCATGCCTAGAACAACATGTGGCATACAACCAGCATTCAGTGTTTCTTGAATAAATAAAGAGTAGTTATAAAGGAAGGGAGGAAAAGCAGATGAACATGTTTGAGAAAGATTGTTTAATTCAGAATTAACTGAGCTATGAAGCCAAAAATCAAAAACAAAAGAGGGAATCTGGTCACTGTTATAAGAGACCCGGGAAGGTAAAGGTTACAAACCCAAAGAATGTTCATTATTTTCAACTCAAGAAAAGTCAGTGTTAGAAAAACAATTCAAAATTTGTCTTACTGAGGGTAAGTCAGCAATGTGACTTTTATTTACCAATGGCATAATGCCATTAAGCTAAACAAGGTAGAATGTCCTGAATGCTCAATACATGCTTGCAACTGTGTTAGGCACTTCACATAAATCACCTCATTTAGTCATAACAATAAATGTTCAGGATAGGTATTAGTACCCCCAAGTTACAGATAAGGAAATTGAGACAGAGAAATGGGTGATATGCCAACAGTAATTTAGCAAACAAGTATAAGAACTGAGATGAAAACTTTGGACAGGCTACAAACCAGTACTTTATAACAATGCTATTACTGTCTCCCTAGATTAATCTGAAAAAATATTTTTTCATTTTCATTTTCGGCTTAGTCAATAGATACTCTTGTAATCATTAATAATATTCACTAAAACTCTGTGTAGCTCTAAGGAGGGTTAAAAATCTGTGATAATTTAACCGAAAACAGGAATCAGTGATATAATTATTATGAAGTGTAAGGGGTTGTTAAAAACTATTTGTTTTTAGCTTTTTGGATTAACAAACGTTTCTGAGAGACCTTATATAAGTGCTAGGTACTATTCTAAATTCTTGGGATACAAGATGGATGCAATCATCATTCATTAGCAGCTTGCATACTAGCAGAGGAGACATAAATGAAACACAGTGAAGTGTGATAGGTACATTACAAGCATGGAAGCTGCACTCTTTACTTAGGGATGTATGAAAAGATTTCAGAGAAAAGGTAATGGATCTTGAGGACTAAGTAAAAACTGCCACATACATAGATAAGGGAAGGGCATTCCAGGAAGATGGGGGGAAAAAGAACACAAAAATACAACTGCATGAAATTCACATAACTGTCAGCAGTTCGGTATATTGCTGAATATAAGGTACAAAATAGGAAATGGTAAGATCGGGAAGATAACCTAGAGCCAGACCACAGGAGCCTCCCATCCATGCTAAGGACTTTATCATGTAAGCCAGTGGTTCCGAATCCTGGTTGTACATCAAAGTCATATAGATAAAGATAGCTAGGTGAGTTTCATACCACCAGCTCAGCATAAATCTATAAACTCAGTCTTTGGAAAACACTAGACAGGAAACCACAGTCAAGCGTTTAAGCTGAAAGACACCATGATTTACATACTGAAGAAAAAAATCACTCTATTAGCAGTATAGGACATACAATGATGTGGAATGAACTATACATAGACCAATCAGTTAAAAGTCAATGAAATAGCACAAGTCAGAGAAAAGAATTTTAGGACTACTAAGTGAAAGTAATGACAGTGAACTATTCTTCATTTGACAGTACTGTGAGAGAAGAGAGAAAAAGGGCAGAAGTAAAGAAAAGTATAAAAATACAGTTTTCTTTTTCTTTTAAAGTAGAAACAAGTTAAATACACTTTAAGGGTATCTGAGAAGGAAATGCACTTGATCTTATTCTGTTATACCAGTATTTAATAGGCCCTTGCTCACAGAAAGCACTCAGTAAACAGGAGTTTGATAAATGAAAAGGGAAAAGGATAAAAGAAAAGCATGGAAGAAAGGATAATACAAATAAGAAAGTGTAGAATATGCAAAAAAAAAAACACAAAAAACCACAAACAAACCACCAACTGAATTTTGTTAAAGTTTCATTGGATACCATAAATCAAAAAAAAAAAAAATTTAAGTCAAGTACTTACCGCTTTAACCATATCCAGCCTCTCATTTGTAATCTGTTCTGTGTACTTTCTATATGCTGCATTTTTAGGGATTTGCTCAAGAACATCAAGAATTTTTGTGTACAATATTCTTAGCCTCTGAAAAGACAAATCATACAAATTCCATCTTAAAATACTACCAAAGGTTAAATGGAACACTTTAAAAAGTCTTACAGGTTTAAAAAACCAGACAACTGTTTTTTAAAAAGAACTTAATTTTTGCTGTAATTTCTTCATGTCCATGCCATATCTCTTTCACAATTTAGGAAAAATAAACTTTTCCTTGTTTATTTTTTAATTTGAAATGTTTTAGTTTAATTGTATAAAATTAAAAGGCATACATACACACACACACAAACCCTAAAGACCTGTAAGAATTATTTTACTTAAAAAGTGGTCTGCATATTTAGACATTATTTTTATATTTGAATATGATATTCCATAATAGAGGGTATTTTACTATACCAATGCGGAGCCTGTCACAAAGAACATATACTCTGAATTGTGTGGGGGTTTATTTTAGCCACATTTCTTCTTAATTTTAGCAAAGGGTATGACAAAAGAAAGGTCTCTTAAGAGACCTGAGTTTTAATATGAGGTTATTAATGTAGCTCTTTCATAGGGTATTGTATAACTTACAACAGTACCTGGCACTCATTAGGTTTCATTAAATATTAGCACTGTTACTCTATTGGGGAAGTAGTCACTTCAGCAGATATCAGAGAAGGGGTCACAGAAAAGGCAGCAATGCAGGTAGACCTGGAGGGACAGTAGGACTTGGACAACTAAGATGTTGAAAATGGCCATTTTACACATAGAATACAAATATAGGATTGAACGACAGAAAAATACAGGGAACATAAAGAAATCAGTATGTACTTCTATTTTCCTTGATCTGTGTTGTCCAATGGAATAGCCACCAGCCAAACATGGTAATTGGGCACTTGAAATGAGGCTAGTCAGAACAGAGATGTGGTAGAAGTGTAAACACACACTGAACTTTGAATACTTAATATGAAAAAAGTACAAATTATCAATTTTATATTAACTATACATTTAAATAACATTCTCAGTGTGTTAGATAAAATATATTAAATTGACCTTATTCTTACTGAAAAACATGACCCCTAGAAATAACAATAGTTATCAACATCTTACATCTATAACTTGCATTTTTATAGGACAGCACATGAATACAATCAATATAGGACACATAGGAAATGCTTAGAAGGTAAGCATTTGAGTTGCCTCCTCAGAAAAGGATTTTAAGTGGTTTGGCATGCCAAATTAATGCATTTGAGCTTTATTCTGTGAGCAATAAAAAGATTTAGGCATAGTTTATGATTAGATCTGTGCTTCCAGAAAGTAATCTGGCAGTAGTGAGTAAAAAGGATTAAATGAAGGAGCAAGCAGAAAGGCCAGTAGCAAGGTTGCTGCAATTCTCTAAACAAGAGCAAAGGACTTAACTGTGGTAATAATAGTAGAGAAAGGAGAGAGAGGTGAGACTGGAGAGGTGTTAGAGAAAAAGAGCAACAGCACTCATGACTCGAATAAATACAAAGATTCAAGAGTAAGAGAAGTGTCTACTATGATGTCCAAATTCCCAGCCTGGGGAGTAAGAAGACTCAGACAGGAAAATGGGGACAAACTCATAGATGGAGAAAAGGATGACAGCTAGTGGTGGGGTGGGGCAGGGGGGGCAGGTAAGGGGGTGAGGGATTGAGCAAATAGGAGTCATGGACGCCGACAACAGTATGATGATTTCTAGGGGAGGGGCATAGAAGGGGACTAAATGGTAATGGAAAAAATTACAAGATTAAATTTAAAAAAAAAAAAAAGAAAAATAGAATCCACAGTGCATGAAACATTTAGAAATGAAAAACCATAACTTCAGTTTTTGAATCTAAACTGTAATGAATCTGTAATGCATCTAAAGTCATTATGAACTCATAATGAGTACATGACAATCGCTCAACATACATTTACTGAGCACACACCATGTGCCAGTCATCGTTTTAGCAGTGAACAGAACAATAAAAAAGCGCTGGCTTCATGAAAACCTCCATTTGAAACAGAGACAGGCAAAAAACAAGAGACAGTCTACTGACAAGTGAGATGGAGGGCCATAGTAAGGACTCTTATTTATAGAGAATACCACAGGAAGGTTTTGAGGAAAGGTGTGACATGTCTTAACTTACATTTTAGCAGGTTGATTCTACTGTGGTTGAAAAATGACCAAACTGAGGCAGCGACAAATGGAGAGGCCATTAGAAAGCAAATGCAATTATCTTTAGCAGTGGTGATGGTGGCTGAGAACAGGTTAGTAGCACAGGTGGCGGTGAGTGGTCAAAATAGGAATATATATTGAAGGCAAAACACAGAGGATTTACTTAAGTACCAAATGTGGTGTGTGAGAGAAAAAAGAAATTAAAGATGATTTCAAGGTTTTTGACCTAAGTGGCTGGAAGAATGGAACTGTATTCACTGAGATGAGTAAGCCTGAGAGAGGAGCAGGTTTTAAGGAGATCAGGAACCCAATTTTGGACATGTCAATTTTCAGTTGCCTGCTTGACATCCAAGTGAAGGCGTCGTCCACTATGCAATTAAATATACATCACTCTCACAAAGGGAGAGGTCAGTGCTTGATATGGAAATCTAAGAGTCATTAGTGTATAGGGTAGTACTTAAAACCACTAAACTAGATCCAGATACCACGCGAGAACAAATAAAGGAGACAAAGGATCAAAAAACTAAGTCTTAGAACACCAACAGTTAGAAGTGGGAATATGAGGAATAACCAAAAAGGGAGAGGGGAAAAAGAGCAGGTGTAAAAAACAGGGAGAGTCCTGAAGCACAGTATGAAAAGTGCTTGAGGGAGAAGATGCCACACGTGTCAAATGCTGCTTCTGGGTCAAGTAAGATGAGAAATGTGAGATGACCACTGAATTTAACAGTGCCGAGAGCATGGTGACCTTGAAAAGAAAACAGCACTATGGTGAAGCCTGACTGGAGTGTGTTCAAAGGGGAATGAGAGAAATTGGATAGTATGGACATTTTAATGATGTTAATTCTTCCTATTCATTAAGTGGTATCTGCTTCCATTTACTTGCATCTTCTTCCATTTTTCTTCACTGTCTTATAATTTTCTTAGTACAGGTCTTTTACCTTCTTGGTTAAATTTATGATGGTTGCCAGAGGGGAGGGGAGCTGGGGGACTGGGTGAAAAAGGTGAAGGGATTGAGAAGTAGAGAAAGGTAGTTATAGAATAGTCAATAGGAAATACCACAGGTATGGTGCCAGGTGGGTGGGTACTGGATAAAGTATCAGGAGGAACACTTTGTAAAACATATGATTGTCTAACCCCTATACTGCACACCAGAAATTAATACAAAATAATACTGACTGTAAACTGTAACTCATTTTTTTTAAAATTTTGAAATAAAACTAAAAAAAAAAATAGAAACTGTTGAGTACAGATAACGAGTTACCTGTAAAGGGAAGGAGCACAATGGTGTGGTAATTGGAGGAAGGAAAATGACCGAAGGAGGTATTTTTGTTTTGAGGGGTTTTTTGTTTGTTTGTTTTTTAAAGATGGAAGCACGTCAATACTGAAGGGAAAGACCTACTAAACAGGAAAAGTGGTGACAAAAGAGGCAAATGCTAGAGCGATACCTTCAGTAAGCCTAAGTGGAATCTCGGGCACCTAGGCAGAAGAGGTGAGGCAGGGGAAAAGGTGAAAAATTAAGATACAGATTTGGGAGATACAGTGTTGGGACACTAACAGAAATACCAGTGAAGCCACGAGAACTGCCTCAAAAAAGGTCAACAAAAAAAGTGGCTGAAGAAAAAGGTAATGACAAAATGAAAAAAATGTAGCACCGGATCAACAAAGTAGACCCCTCTTGCCTAGAGCTCACGATGAGGGTTCATTCTGGGCTAAAAATGTCTGTATACCTTTGACCTGTCGACGAACAAGGTCGCCGAGTTCTCTATTCTTCCTTGGGAATTCTAGAATGAAGAAAGAGAAGAGGTACCTACCTCGTGCGGACTCTCACATACCGCCAACCCCACAAGGCCAGTAGTCTGTTCAAAAACAAAAACGACCACGCTGTTTACAATTCGGCGCGTCCACCAAGCCAAGAAAAAGCAAAACCCCCAGGTTTCAGTGTCCTGAAACAAGCTCCCGGTCTCTCAACGCCGCTAGTTCAGAGCTGTTTTCTACCGCTGAGGGCAGAGAAGAACGGGAGCCCCAAAGCATCGCCAAGCCGCGCCAGTTCTAGCCACCACCCGCGGGATGAGGGGCTATCGAGCTGCCTCTACCCCACAGTCTAAATTCCGCCAGTGACCTCCAGTAGCCTCACCTTCTTCAGCAAGCCCGCCATGACAGCGCCGAAGACAGGCGTACGAGAAGCCCTCTGGGAAATCTCGCTCAGACCCGCTCAATCCACCACCGAGGCCGCCGCGACATCACCTTGGAAACAGCTTGGCTCCTCCCTCTCAGGATCTCCACTGGACCGGGCCTTTGCCCCGCCCACCCCGAGTGGGAAAATTGACGCACGCGCAATGAGTACACCAGCATCTATCTGGGCACTGGGGGAGACGGTTGTGTGTTAGGTGTCTTCTGTTTCGTTCCTGTCCCTTCCACTGCTGACAGGTTGCCCAAAGGTTGACGGAAATGCTCCAAGCTGCCAAAATCTTAGACGTAGTCGTTCTAGGAACTTGCACTCTGTTTAAACTTGGGCGAACTCTTTGACGTTCCTTACACAGTGAAGTTGCAGTAAAATGAAAGGGGTGGTGGAGCTGTTGTCTAGGTTAGCTCTTTAACTTCAAAGGTTCGTACAGTATTCTCGGTATATTGAGCCAAAGCATTATCAGTATGCAGTTGCATTTCCCATCACAACACCTTTCTTTCCCATTTCACTCACTGAATCTCATCATCCATTTTCTTATTTTCCCAGGCGAAGTGGTATCAGACCACTTTTCCCCACCTACCTACACAAACATTTATTGAGCACGTTAGTTACTGGGACGTAATTTGTAAGACAGGGTATCACATCCTGGAATTCACAGAACAATGCATTAATAGGCAATTTTAGTTTTCCGAAAAAGGTGTCTATCAAGTGTAATGGTAGCAGAGAAGAGGAAATGACTAACCCAAAATTGTGGGTGACTGGACTTAAAGAAGGCATTCGCTAAAAAGTTAATGAGAGAAAACCAGAACAAGAGAGAACACATGTATGAAGAAATATATATTGTAAATAGCAACATTCGTAATTTAAATAGTAAAACAACCCACAAAATAGAAGATGTTTGAAAGCACATATAATCAATCACAAAAAGATAAGTGGTACCTAGAATACATAAGGAAATTCCACAAAACAGAAAGAATGACCAGGACAAGTCTCCTGCTTCCATTCCTTCCTTCCTAATTGGAATATTTTAAGTGAGTTAATATATGTAAAGTGCCTGGCTCACTGCATGGAACAAAACACCACACACATGATTGCTATTAATTTTTAATTATTATCTCAACCTAATAGCTGGAATAATTTTTAGCAAGTGCTTTGCTCAAAATTCTCCCACAATTTTTCACGAGATTGTCCCTTGTTTCACTCACCTCTGAGACCTAATCTTCTGTTCCCCTTCCCCAGCTCAGGTAGCTGCTCCTCTAACCCTTTTGTGGAAAAACCCTTCCACCAGTTGGGCACATGGCTGGCTCTCTCACATCTTACAAGACTTTCTGCAAAGATTGCCTTCTTAATGTAGCCTACCCTGGTCATAAGATTTCAAATTGCAAGTCACTACGAAGGCACTCCTTACCCTCTTCTCTGCTTCAGCTTTCTTCACAGCCCTTAGCATCTTCTAATATGCCAATTATCTCATGTTGGTGTTTTTGTATAATTCTTTCCAGATATAAGCCACATGTGAATGGAAATTATGTCCTACCATATCTCAAGTGCCTAAAATAGTATGTGGTGCATAATAGGCACTCAGTACATATGTTTTTAGTGAAAATGATAGAAAAGGGACAAAAGAAACTAATAGGCAATTGACAAAAATGGAAACAGGAGCATTCAATAAATGTGAAAAGGACTCAACCTCCCTAAAAATTAAGTAAATGGAGATTAACTACAATTTTACTCCCATCTTATGGACAAAAACTAAGGACTGACAATACCAAGTGTTAGCAAGGATGTGGAGCAACAGGAACACTCATACACTGCTGGTGGGAGTGATTTGGTATAATCACTTTGCGGAATAATTTTACAATAGTTGAAGACATGTAAAACCTATAACTGAGTGTTATGGATTGAATTATGTTTCCCCCAAAATTCATATGTTAAAGTCCTAACCCCCACTACCTCAGAAAATGACTCTAATAGAAAATTGGGTCATTCCAGATGTAATTCATTAAGGTGCTGTCATCAGAGTGGGCCTGTGCAATATGACCAATGTCCTTATAAAATGGAAAATTTGGACACAATGACATGCACTCAGGGAGAATGCCTCCAAGGTTAAAGGCAGAGATCCGGATGATGCTTTTACAAGCCAAGGAACACCAAAGATTGCCAGAAAACCACTAGAGATTAGGGGAAAGGCCCAGATCAAATCCTCTCAACCCTGCCGACACCTTAATGTTGAACTTCTAGCCTTCAACAGGTGAAGTAATACTTTTATGCTATTTAAACCACTCAGTTTGTGGTATTTTGTTATAGCAACCCTATAAATCAACATTGAGTAATAGATTAGTTTGATTGTAGGCACCTCTTTATTATTTAGGAGCTGTCCCTAGAAACACAAGCCATGGGATATAATCTTTCCAGTTCAGGTTACCCAAGGATTAGACTTTATCATAACTTCCATTATAATTTTCAACTTCTAGCATTTAAATCATTCAAAATAACAATTCTGAATGGAAGATATATATTTATATTTGTATTTATTTATTTATTTATTTATTTACAAATGTCCATCTATTAATGGCACTTTAAAGATATGCATATGCATGGGTGTATATATATAACATACATAAATGTAAAGAAACTATGGGATTACAACAAACTATCTGGTACACCATTTGCTTCTACAAAGGTGACATACTTATCTGGACACACTGGATTAGATACTGGAAACTACATTAAGATTGGGAGAAAATCTCCTATTTTTCATTTTTTTCTTCTTTCAAAGATTTTACTTATTTATTTTTAGAGAGAGGGAACGAGCAGGAGAAAGAGAAGCATCAAAGTGCAAGAAAAACATCAATTGGTTGGCATGGCTCTCACCCTTCCCCAACTGGAGACCTGGTCTGCAACCCAGCCATGTGGCCTCAATGGGAATTGAACCTGCAACCTTTCACTTTGTTGTATGATGCTCAACCCACTGAGCCACACCAGTCAGGGCAGTATCCTATTTTTCAAACCAGATAATGCTGAAATAGTCCCTGGAATTTAGATGAATAGAAATTTATGAGGTCACAATCCCTGTTCCCTGTCCCTCCACATTCTAAGAATTTTCGTCATTGTGGGGAGAGGGATGTTCTAGAATGCAGAATCATGTGATTATAAAAGATGCATGTGCTTTCATTTGGTGGAACTTTGAGTTCAGGCTTTTGCTGTACTATATTTGCTAAAGACATGACAGCTAACAGACCTAGCTAATCCTGGCTAAGGTACTGTATAGCTAAACAGTTCTATGTGGTGGGAAAATGAGTAGGTTTTCTGATCCAATTCCTATGCAGAGGAGTGGGACTTGGTTTGAAGGGGACTAGATAGTCCTATGGCTGGTGACAGTAGAATTAGCTTCCAAGGGAAATCAACCTTGAATCCATGCTATCAGAAGGGGATTTGGGAATGTTTAATGTAAGTAGCAGGGGCATCAGATGCACCATATTTTCAGTTGGAAGAGAGTTCCCAGAGGAGAAAATGTTTGAATCATCAGGAAGGAGACAGATCTTGCAAAGTTCTGTTAATACAGTTAGCAGGCCAGGTGACTTAGAGCTAAAATCTGGATTTCATCTTTTACATACTTTGCAGGACTTTCAGCTTATGCAATTAAAAAGAGCTCATTTCTCCAAAATTAAGTACCTAGAAGAGTTAAGACCTCTTACATTGTTTTTTAATTGTACAAGGCTCTTTTGTGAAGGGCCGGATCTTACCAAAGTTAGCAGTTAAAGTGTTTCCCTGGAATGTATTGCTCTGGAGCCATGGTGAGGGAGTCTTTAGGAGAGTGGCATGAGACCAGATGACTTAAAAGGAAGAAAGCATTCCATTTTCAGGACATGAGGGTCTCATTTCTGGAAATCTAGAGGGAATGGGTACTGCCTTGGCCAGTTTTCCCTTAGTTTTCAAGATCAGGAAGCAGAGGTGAAAATAATCTCCACTCAGGAAGTGTTCTTTTCTCTCCCAAACTTGGCAACAAAAAAAATCAATTTGCTCAAGTTAGCTCTTAGAACAGACTGATATATTAAAATTCTAATACTTTGATTATTATCCAACTATTGTGCCTCTATTCATATCAGGCATGTTTAAAACAGTTTGGATTTTTTTCCTGTCTTCTCTCTGTATGCCGTGAATATTTCCAAAAAGTGTCCATAACCAGACAAATGTGTTTCTCATATGGGTTTTAGAATCTCATTCTAAATTGAACTGTAACTCAGTTTCTTTAAAGCAATGAAAAGTATCTTATGAGACTAATAAATAAACATTTATTTATACAAATGGTAACAATATACTAACAAAATGGTACATAATTATTTTAAAAATAAATAACAGAATTTAGAAATAGATAAAATGTATAAGAAAAAAGTTGAAAATGCTTAAAAGATATCATAAATGTTGATGCTGTGATTTAACTAATTTTACCCAATGTTAAATAACAAATTAAGTAAAATAAAATAACCAAGATAAAATGGGAGAGTAGACAATAGCTAAATTACAGAAGGGACTTCAGAATTTGGAGGTGAAGTATGTAATCATTTTAAATAATTGGATAAACAGCAGAAAAAAACTAAAATAATCATTCATTAAGCATATGTATCCTGATTGCCTGTTTTGCATCAGAAACCGCAGTAGTTACTAGGGTCTGTCAGTAAACCAGATTGACAGGTCTCAGCCATTAAAGAGCTTTGTTCTAGTGGCAGGACATGCAGTAAACAAGTAAACCAATTAATAAATAAAATTCCAAATGTGATTTTTTTTCTAAAAAGAATGAGCAATGTGCTATGTGATAGATGGGTACCTGGTTAACAGTGCAGGAACACATTCTGAGAAGGTGACATTTATTCTGAGACATGAAGGAAGGGTCCAGTCATATTAAAACTGGCTAAGGCAAAGGGAACAGTGAGGGCAAAAGTATGAGGAGGGAAAGCTGTGTGATAGGAGTGTGGCTGAGGTAGAAGGTAAATAGGAGGGTGGCAAGGACTGAGCTGAACAGATCATGCAATGGGAATGGTTTAAATATGGCATGATA